AATTTAATTTTCGTTATACTTATATAAAGTTTTCTACTTTTTAATTTATGTGTTCTTACATAATTTTAGGGTGTAAATAAATATTAAAATATGTTAAACCGTGAGTTAGACTGAAGTGATAGCAACATCGTTCTTCGTGATCTTGTCCATACGTTGTCATCGTTATACCAACATAGGTAATCGAACAGCTCCCGGTTGCATCCACTTCCGACACCTACGACTCCCGGCACCCTGCTTGTCCATCAACTCATTACCAGAGCCATCTCGAACGTCAGCAACAAACTCTTACTTTCACATTTCAGTTATTTTTTCACTTCCTTTTGTTCTTTTTTTTTTTGAAGAATTGGAGACGTGGAGGAGCACTCCAACTTCAAGCAGTGCAGCAAGTGCCAACAGTTCGGACACACGGCTGGCCATTGCGACTTCGCCCCCAGATGCGGGCACTGCGGAAGCACTACGCACTACCTCCTCACCCAATGCCCTAAAGCGGAGGGACCACCCGAGTGTGGCAACTGCAAGGGCACCAACAGCTACCACGGCAGCAACCTGAACTACCAACACAAATACAATAGCCAGTCCTGCCCTCGTCGGAGGGCCATGATAAACAAGATTATTGATAAAACAAACTACGGCCAGTAGACGGTACAGAAACGCATCCACCATACCGAAAATAATAAACACCCTGCAGGTAAATGCAGACCGAGCGCAATGCGCACACTACGAAATCGCCCACCTGCAGGGCAAAAAACTCTGGAATGTGGCTTTCGTCACCGAACCCTACGTGGGCAATGGAACCGAAGCCAAGGGTATAAACGGTACGACAGCATTCCAATCAAAAACAAGTCGAGGCACCGTCCGAGCTGTCATCTATATCAACGATCTCCTAGCCCACAAGCTGAAAGCGATCCTGGTGTCGCAGCACTCATCGCCCGACCTCGCCGTGGTGAGGCTAGACGTGGCGGGCACCGTCTGGCACCTCGTATCAGTCTACATACCCTCCAGAGGGGATCCGACAGACACCCTAACGGCCATGGAGGAACTGCTCACCGGCATCGACATCAACTCCATCCGGAACAAGATCATAATAGCCGGAGACTGGAATGGCTGGCATCCCACGTGGAATAGAACAGGCGCCATCAATCCTAGGGGCAGGATTGTGAAAGAATTCCTCACACAAAATGGACTGATATGCCACAACAACGGGGACCCGACCTTCAGGACAGTCACTCACGGAGCCGAAAGGGAGAGCGCGATCGACCTCACCGTCTCCTCGGAGAATGCAGCCGGGCGCGTACGGAATTGGCGCACCGACGAGGAGACGGTGTGCTCCACCCAACATATTGCGATCAGATTTGACCTAATCATCAGCAACACCAGAGGGCTGCCCAACTTGCATCCGGGCGAGGGTCAGTCCACGTTCCGATATAAGATTAAAGAGAACGCCAACTGGACCCTATTCTAGAGGGAATTGACTAAATCCAGTGCACTCCTGGACGCGGCTCCCGCCGACATAGCCGTTTTGGACCCCGGCGGTCTGGACAATTTTGCCAGACAACTCACTACGGCAATAAACATCGCAGCCGACGCCACATTCCCTCACGCCCCCGACGGAGACAGACAACCGAGTAGACACCAAAAGCGACCTCCCTTCTGGAACGCCAATCTGGAAAGTTTCAAAAGAAATTTGATCAATAAAAAAAGGGAGGTCAAAAGATTAAGGAATAGAACTCATCCTACTTATCCGCACTCCGACCGCCAACACTAGCGCCAACCCCGAGCGGACACACAGCCACAGCCCCAGCCTCATCTCCACCCGCAGCAGACTGAAGGCGCGGACACGATCGCCGCTGCCATAGAGGAGGTCCAAAGGATGACTCAAGAATACAAGGAGCTTATAAGGTCCGAAGCGGCGGCGAACTTTCGGAAATTCTGTCAGGACATGAGTCTGGACGATATTTGGAAAATCGTGAACCCAGTAGTTAAGGCCACAGGCAGACCGGCCCCTCCCCCGTCCACCGTCCGGAGAAACGACAACAACACAACTTCCGTAGCTGTCGCCGCCGCTCCCTCCACCCTCGCCGCCGGCGGCGACAACATCATGGACACCTCCGCCGCCGCCACAGCCACCGTAGACGCCGCCGCCGTCGCTTTCGATCCTACAGCTGACCGGGCGACCGTCTCAGCCGCCGCCGTCTCCGATACCTCAACCGCCGCGGCCCCAGCCACAGCCGCCGCCGCCACCACCACTGCCGCTACTGTCGCCTCCAGCGCCGAAGAATCCGCAGAAATAATTCATAATTACCATTATCCCGACGATCGTCCCGAGGAGGACACCGAGAGGCACAGGGCTCTGAGGATGGCCAGCAGAACCGCTCCCGACACCCCGAACGACCCCCCTTTCAGGAGGGACGAAGTCCAGGAGGCGTTGGGGCAGTTCTCTATGAAGAAGGCTCCAGGCATGGACGGCCTCACGGCAGATATCTGCATGGCAGCGTTTAAAATTCTACCTGATGTATTTACAAACTTCCTAAACAGATGTCTAGACCTAGGACACTTCCCGAAGTGCTGGAAGATGGCCGTCGTAAAGTTCATTCCGAAAGCTGCGTCGGACGAGGACCTAGATTCCCCGAAGAGCAAGCGACCCATCGGCCTGATTCCAGTCTTCGGGAAGTTACTGGAGAAGCTATTCATTAACCGAATAAGTCACCACCTGGATACCACTAAAGCGGCGGCGGACAATCAATATGGTTTTAAGCGCAATACATCTACCCTACACGCGCTTGCCAGTGTGATAGAGAAGATAGAATCAGCCAGAAGAGCGGGCAGACCGTGCGTGGCCGTATCCCTGGATATCCGCGCGGCTTTCAATTCCGCCTGGTGGCCCGCCATACTGATCAACCTGGCTAACGCCAGATGCCCAAACAACCTGCAACGGCTAGTGGGAAGTTATCTCACAGACAGACGGGTGATGATCAGTTATGCGGGGGCCACGGCCACTAAAGCGATGTCCAGGGGATGCGTGCAGGGATCGGCGTGCGGACCTGCCTTCTGGAATATCGTGCTGGACACCCTCCTGAAAACTACTCTACCGGAAGAGGCAACCTTACAGGCATACGCGGACGACGTACTCCTAATCGTCTCCGCCAAAGATCCTCAGACTCTAGAAGTGAACATCAACAGATGTCTCGACACAATTGTGGCATGGGGCAGAGAGAACAAGCTAGATTTTGGCAATGACAAAACTAAGGCTCTGGCGTTCTCACCGCGGGCCGCCAGAGCCAAAATAATCATGAACAACCATCCGGTGCCCTTCTCCCATCACTTCAAGATCCTCGGCGTGATGCTGGATAACCGACTGAGATTCGGCAACCATATAGATTACGTCACCAAAAAGGCGCACAGACTATACCAGCGATTGTGTCTGTTCACACGCCCCTCCTGGGGACTGGGCGCAGATATAATCGAGACCATCTACAAGCACGCCATCGTGCCCACATACACCTGTGCGGCGGGAATATGGGGCGACGCCGCTAGAAAAACTACTCACAAGGCGAAATTGCAAGCGGCCCAGCGAGGGTTCGCCATCAAGGCCACCAGGGCGTACCGCACCATGTCTGCGGTGGCGGCGAACGCTCTGGCCGGTTTTGTTCCCCTCGATTTGGAAGTTATCCGGGTGGCCAGCGTCGACAGGGCGAGAATCTCCCTGAAGACCGAATCGCTGGACCATGAAGCCAACGAGTCCATCGACACCTTCTCCGCCACCACAGCCCTGGAGGGAAGGGTGAGCTCGAGAGACATGGAACACCCGGCGAGAAGAATATCACCAGACTACCGGGTGATACCGTCGCAGGTGAGAGCGGACGGTATCATCCCGGAATCCGCCATCACTTATTACACCGATGGAAGCAAGACCGCCGTGCCAGGACACTGCTGGCTGGGAGACACCGGCTCGGCGGTAGTGGTCGTCTCGGGCACTCTTCCCTCTCCCTCTCCGGATGAACGCAACGTCGCCGTAACCAGCGCCAACACCACCACTACCATCGCCACCACCACCGGCGACACCGACACCAACACCGACACCAACACCGGCAACATCATAGCAACCGCGGCCACCAACGCCGCTCCCGCCACCTACTCCTTCGCCACCGACAGCGATCAAACAACCACACAAGCAGGGGCCCATCCTCCTCCTTCCTCGTTGCCGCCATGCAATTAGCACTTCTTTACTTTACGCAAGGTTGTCAGTTTTTTTCTCTAAGACTTTTCCACACAATATCATAATTTAGCTCTGTTAAGATAACTCAATCACCGGGCTAGCCGGATGAATCAAGTTAAATGTTAAGATTGTTAGTTCTCTTTTTCTAAGATTTTTCACATAACATCACAATGTTAGTTTTGTTAAAATAATTCAGTCACTTGGCTAGCCGGATGGGCCAAACTAAAGGTTAAGATTGTTAGTTTTCTCTTTTCAAGACTTTTTTCACAATGTCATAATGTTAGTTTTGTTAAGATAATTCAGCCACTGGGCTAGCCGGATAGACCAAGCTAAATGTTAAGATTGTCAGTTTTCCTTTCACAACGTCATAATGTTAGTTTTGTTAAGATAATTCAGTCACTTGGCTAGCCGGATGGGCTAAGCTAAATGTTAAGATTGTTAGTTTTCTCTTTCCAAGATTTTTTACACAAGGTCACTATGTTAGTTTTGTTAAGATAATTCAGCTACCGGGCTAGCCGGATGGACCAAGTTAAAAACGTTAAGATTGTTAGTTTTCTTTTCACAAGGTCATAATGTTAGCTTTGTTAAGACAATTCAATCAATCGGCTAGCCGGATGGGCCAAGTTAAATTTTAAGATTGTTAGTTTTCTGTTTTTAAGAATTTTTCACATAAAATCACTACGTAAATTTAGTTAGGGTAATTCAGCCACTGGGCTAGCCGGATAGACCAAATTAAATATTAAAACTGTTAGCTTTCCTTTTATTTTTACTTTTAATTTCTATAATGTTAGCTCTGTTAAGACATTTTAGTCACTTGACTAGCCGGCTGGACCAAATTAAACTTAAGATTGTTAGTTTTCTCTGCATTTTCTTAGATTGTATAATCTAATTCATTAATCATTATCCCAAAAAAAAAGGGAAAAGGAAGAAAAGAAAACAAATTTTTTTTTTCTTTTATATTTTTTATATTTCTTTTCATATACTCACTTTTTACCTTTTACTTCGTTCTCATTCCATGGAACTCAATTGAATAACTATACCCGGTCTCGATGACTGTCCATCGAAACATCCGAAACTAAACACACATAAATTAGTATAAGGCTATGTAAACTAAATAATTAATCTAAGTCAACACAATGTAATGTAATGTAACTAAGATGTATGATATAAATATAGTAATAATGTATAATAACAGCTGAACCACATTCATGTGATAATTTGTAATCTGTAATAATTAGGGAACGCAGAACCATGGACCGAACGCAGCAAGGGTGTAACCCGTTACCTCCTATTGATATCAATACCGTCGCGCGATATCAATAACACTAATAATAATATTAACATATTTACCAATCGCGTACTCCCGACTTAGCTTGATCGGATCGATCGGATTAAATAACTAATCATAAGGGACTCGAGTCCCTCACCCCGTTATGTCGCGTTGCCTATTCTATCCTTGTAAATTTGTTACTTTTTTACTTTTCACTTTTTACTGTTTATGTTTTACTTCTTATTCTCATTCTCGTTTTTACTACAATAAAAACGGACGACGCAACATCGGAATCACAAACAGTAATTCCGTTAAATAAATAGATAATATAATAATCACTCTCCTTAGTCACGCAGCACAGCCGAAAGCGAGCCACGACGTCCTCCGAGACCGGAGACCGGAGATCTTGGCGGCGTGAACGCCCCCCTCTCTCTCACTCAGGCACCAACGCTGCTGAGAAGGAGGAGCGCAGGCGCATGGCACCACAAATCCGTGGGACACCCACTGCTCGCAGATCTCCTTAGAACCCCAGGCGCGGGCTCACCGGGCCGGCCCCTCTTCAGGCGACCGCCGGCACTTAGGTGGAAGTGGCCTTGGAGCGGGGAGACCGGCCCGAGGACACAGGCCCACGACCCCAGCGCCGGGCTTACACTCGAGTGCTGGGACCGCCCCGACGCTCCGCGATCGCGCTCAACATCCTCATCCTGGGCGCGGTCGCGGAGCGGCGGGGCGGCCCCCATCCCCAGCGCTCGCACACAATCACTCACACACACACACGCACACTCAACTAGCACATACACACACACACACTCACATCCTAGACATCACCCATCTCTACCTCTTCGGAAACGGGGGTTCTATCCTCACCACACTCTCGCTCTCTTTCTTCACCATTCTTCGATCCTCGTTTCCTCTTTCTTCACAAACTATCCCCTCACTCTCTCTACCACTGTGGGAGGAGGACCACCGCGGATTCAACGAGATGCTTCCCGGCCCCACCCTCCTCCCCTCATTAACCTCGTCTCATTCACCATCATACACGCAACACTACACACTTACACACCGACATCGGATCACTCATCGGCCCCCTTCAGGGACCACCCTTCATCTTGCCCTCCTCCAGGGATTAGCATGATCCCCCCCTCACAAGGGGATCTAAAACTACTTCTCACAGTATTCGAGTCCGCATGTACCTCCCACTTGCCGGGAGGACATACATTAGAGTACCCCTCCTTGCTAAAAGGGGTACCACACTCAGAGATCATCCATCATCAACCATCACCATCACTCACTATCATCCTATCATCTCATTACTCCCATCCCTCCCTACCTATTACCAATATATGTTATAATAAAAAAAATAAAAAAATATATATTAACAATCTTAACAGGTTTGATCAATGTTAACAATGCTAATGATCTTAACAGATCCAGATGATCCTAACAATCTTCACTATTCTAACAGATCCTAACGATCGTAACAATGTTAGTGATCTTAACAGATCCGGACAATCCTACGAAACTTAACAATGCTAACGGACTTAACAGGTCCGAACAGTCACGACGATCTTAAACCAGTCTTGATCCTATTGATCCTAATTATATTAACAATCTTAACAGGTTTGATCAATGTTAACAATGCTAATGATCTTAACAGATCCGGATGATCCTGTGAATATTAACAATGCCAACGGTCTTAACAGGTGCGGACGATCCTGTGAATTCTAACAATGTTAACGGGCTTAACAGGTCCGAGCGATCCTGACTATCTTAATGAATCTAACAATATTTACAATATTAACATTACTAATGGACGGAACAATATTAATAGTGATGATTATGTTAATCCTAGCAATGTTAACGGTCTTAGCAGGTTCGATCAGTCTTAACAACGCTAATGATCTTACAGATCTGAACAATTCTGCCGATTTTAATAATGCTAACAATTTTGACACATATGAGGAATCCTAACAGACTTAGCTATTTTGTCGATCCTAACTGATGTGAACGTTTGATCTTAACAGACTTAACTAACGTGACAATGGTTTGTTGGGTAGCTGGTTAGGGTTAAGATTGCTCCGAACAAAGCATGTGCAATAAGTGGGTGAAGCGTATTATGTTAATGACAGAGTGCTTATGTTAAATTGATTTTGATTAATTAAATTAAATTAAAAATCGATTGCAATAAATATCTAATAAGAACACATGAATTGGTTGAACTTAGGGCGCTTGTGCACTACACTGAATTTTCAGGTCCGGCGGTCCGATTTTTTCCGGTCCGGAATGACATGAAAAACCCGGATGAGTAGCTTGTGCACTTGTCCGTTTTTTTCCTGATCGGAGCGGCGCAGTGTAGGGCAGCTCTCTTTGAAGCTACACGTCACTAACGCTAGGTACGATGAGATTTTTGGAACGTCGGTAATTCCGTTCGAAGACGTAGAAAAGTACCTAAATAATGATCTGATCGTTTTACATACCATAATAAATTATGGCAAGACAAAAGCATTTTTTCACTACTATCGGATGACTACTATCAGATGTAAAAACTAATACCCTTACTAATTTAGGAACAGCATTAATCATATACAATAGCTAAAAATATCTGTGACATTAGAATAAAATGACTGATAATGGTCTAGTACTTGATGTTTAAACTTTTAAACGTGCTATTTTTTTTTCGAAGTTTTGTAAAAACAACTTTCAGCAATTACAGAGATAGACCAATCGGTGGCGCCATTTCGTAAATAAATCAAAATTAGTGCCGTGTAAGCGGAGAATTATTATGCTAAATGAACTTGACGAAAGCAGTTGACAGTATTATATATAGGCATAATTTTATACGCGTGGTGTAGTTACTTTGAGCAGAAATATTATTCCCTTAGAATACTTCGCTTTTTTAAATTTATTAATGACACAAACATACATTTAAAATTTTATTAAATGCGAAAAAGACATTGAGTGTCACTTAATTACTTTTGTTAATCTTCTATTTATTCTTTATTATTACTTCTGTTGTTAAATATTTATCTATACTTATCAATTGTCTAAAAAAAATTGATAATGAAAAATTTCCAGGCAAACTTTCATCCCCTATTTTTCGCGATGAAATGTAGCCTATGATCTTTCTTAAAGTTAAGTCTATTTACTATATTAATTTCCATTTAGATGGGTTCAGTTGTTTAGGCGTCTATGCGTAACTACACTTATTTATCTTACCTTAAGCTATCGATACTTTTAATACGATTCTAAAATCTAGCTAAGTATCGATACTAGAACCATACGCTGATCAAATTAGAACCATACCGAGTTTGCCAAAGCATATGCAGTGATATATACCAACTATATTAAATCATCATATAAAATATAGTATTTTATAATCAACTACAAATATCGATTATAAGTTTATTGGAAATCAACAATATTGCCGAAATAAATATCGATTCAAATCGATTATTTTTTCCCAAGCCTATTCCTTATGAATTTTCCGGATCTCGGACACAGCAGTGCACAAGCGTAAGCACGGTTTTCATTGCCGCCATCACGGACCTGAAAAAACCGGTCCGGAATAGAGAAAAGTAAAATTCCGGACGGTAAAATTCCTGACAGTGCACAAGCGCGCATTACCTACACATGGCCTGACATATCGGACCTGAAAAAATCGGACCGCCGGACATGAAAATTCAGTGTAGTGCACAAGCGCCCTTACAAAGGAATAATCAAAAACACAGTTAAAGAACACTCGAGTAAGTTAAAAACAGGAATGTCAGAGTTCTGTTAGGGTTGTTCAGATGGAGTCTTCGGTGGTCTGCGATAAGATGGGTGGCCGGCAGGTTGATATGGTGCAGCGGTGACGGCTGTCGGCAGTGCCGGTCAGGGTTCGGATTCAAGCGCCGGTTTCGTTGACCTCGCTGGCTGAGGAGGGGGGGGGAGGGGGCTTGGCAGGTGATGCCCGAGTGTCCAACAGTAGTAGAGAGGAGAAGCTCTCCTGCCTGTGCGGGTGTACGATGCGTGATGCGTCGAAGCAGGGCAGGGCCGCACCGTGGTGTGCGGCAGCAGCAACAGCTGCTGGGGCTGCGCGGCGTTCGCGATGGCAGCGGCGGCAACAGCGGCGACGGCAGCGGCGACGACGGCGCCGGGCGCGGCACAGCAGGCCACCGGTGGTGTCGTCGGGGCGGTACAGCGAGTCGGGCGCTCTTTAGGGAGCAGCACCGAAGGGTCCAGTGTCAGCAGTCGTAACGCGACAGCCGACAACCGAACGGAACGCACACACGAACCGGCTTAACACACACGCGATGCGCACAACGGTTGCACTGGTGACGTGGAAACTCGCGGCACTCACGAGAATGTTTAAGCACTTGAGGTTACTGAGTAAGGTTCATAAAGGTAATGTCGGGAAATGTCACTGGCGATATTAACAGCGGCGTGTACAATCCTAACATGCGATCGTAACGAACTTAACAGAAGCCTAACGATCCTAACAGATTTCCTTTCCAACGGTCCTAACAACAATGTTAGGATGCCGCAAAAGTTCGAAGATAAAATTGCCGGCGTGTTAGGAACGAAATTCGGACGCTGTAGGCGCATGTGGTGGTACACGCTCGCGAAATCACTTCGGCCGAACAGTCACAGGTAACACAAACGTTTATCTACTCATAGGGTGGTCGGCGGCACTCAACACAAAATGGCGGCAACGCGGTGTTAGTAGAACGTATCCTAACCGAAGCTAACACGCGCGTGTTAAGAACGCAATAATAAGAGTCCTGCGTGGTAGTAGGTCTTTTCACTAGCACTGTGAGCCGCACTGATACACTGCTATCATTGTGAGAGAGTATAGTCACTGTTAATTAACTGTAAATCGCTCGAAAAGTGAGGTTATTGTTCATCCTAACAATCCGAGCACTATGTTAGGGTCGATCCTAACAAACGTAGCTATGGAAAATGGTTTTTCACGAATAACTCGTTTAATTGTTTTCCGATTTTCACGCGCGATATATCCGCGGATAGGTCTTGTTCTTGCGCTTCTTATGATGTATGATTATGTGGGGGATCGCACATAAAAACCATTCTTTTGGATTTTACAACGCGGAGCGCACGTGTTTTGCTGCTCACTCTCTGAGGTGCAGATTAATTAGATTAGATTAGATTGAGTAATTATGTAATTGCTTACAGTTAAAATGAGTTAAAGTTTGAGTTACTATTAGTTGGTGATGATGATTGATTAGTGATGATGATTGTTTGGCTCCCAGGTATGAGAAGTTGGACCGGGGCCCGCTCCAGCATCAGTATCCCGGGCCAATGCCCCGGGCAGTGGCAAGCAGAGATCAGTCCAAGCCCGGGGACGGCCGCCGACGGCCAGGGCCCCGCTCCGGTCGGCTGGGCGGGAGAGGTAGGGTCCCTACATGCAATGCAGGGTATCTTGTAGCGGTGATAAGGAGAAACTCTCCTACCTGAGGCCAGGATACAGCTGATGCAGCTGGACTGTGTAGCGTCGCAGGTCGGGTGGACCAGACGGGGGGGTCCACAGCCTCCTCCACAGGGCAGTCGGCGCAACCAGTCAGCCCGCCGGTGATGTCGGTGAGGCCTGCTGGGCTGCAGTACAGGATCAGTATTTTCAGGGGGGCCTTCCTGAGAGGTCCGAGGGCAGCAGGCTTGAGTATTTCCGTAGTCCGTGGTTTGGGGACAGCAAGGGCCCCCTTCTTCGTAGCAGGGGGGCATCCGCGGACGCAGCCGGGCCGTCCGCTAATGGGTTAGCTGGTTAGGCGGCTCCATGGGTTAGTGCTGGCGCGATTGTTTAGTAAATTCGAGAATTTTACTCGCGGAATTGTCGAGAACATTCGATTGTTGGGATTGTTCGGACAGGGCCGCAAAGTGGACGCGCGCTAGCTCCTGGGCGTCCTGCGGCCGACTCCGTCGCGTGTGTTAGCTAGTTTATTACTGGTTTTTAGAGCTTGTACAATGCTTTGAAAGATACCTTCATTTCATACATATCAGGATGTCTCTTTCGGTAAAGAAACACAAGGCACAAACACGTGTAATGTCTTACAGACCCATTAAGCAACTCAATATTGTTAACTTCAATGTGGACTTGTTTTCAATAGATTGGAAGTCAGTGGAGTCTATTGGTACAGTGGACGATATGGTGCATTGTTTCCAGCAGTTGCTTCTATCTTTGTTTGACAAGCACGCTCCTTATAAGACCGTTAGAATTATGCCCGGAAATTCTTTCCCTTGGATAACCAATACCATAAAATGTATGATGGACTTACGTTATAATGCTCTCAAGAAATATCGGGTTACCAGGTCGGAGGAGGATAAAATATCCTGGAAGAATTTGAAAAGGATGGTAGAAGTAAGCTTAGCGTCAGAGAAGCGTGCTTATTTTGATCATTTTGTGAACTCTGAGATTGCAATAGCAAATCTTTTTGGAAAAGGGTAAAAGAAAACATTATTGTCGATCCGTGTCAGAATTGTGATCTTCCTGATTCTATCTGTGATCCAAACGCAATTAATTCCCATTTTCTGGATTTTCAGGGTGCTAATGGTGTATCCTCTACTTATGTGAGTTATTTTAAATCTTCTCGTTACGGCACTTCAGTGTTTAATTTGAGTCCTGTGACTGAAAGTGAGGTGGCGCAGTTTGTTTTTTCTTGTAGGTCCAATGCATGTGGTATCGATAGATTGAGTAGGGACATGGTCCTGTTAACACTGCCATGTACGTTAAGCGTAATAACGACCATTATTAATTTGTCCCTTACTTCTGGCACCTTTCCTACCAGATGGAAGCAAGCTATGGCAACACCTCTTCCCAATGTAAGTCATCCATCTGATTTGAGGGACCTTAGGCCAATTAGTATCTTGCCCTTTTTATCCAAAATTTTAGAAAAAGTAGTGTTTGCGCAACTGTACAAATATCTTGATCGTAATGGAATTCTTCCTGCAATGCAGTCCGGTTTCCGTAGGAACCATGGCACATCTACCGCTTTACTGGACGTCGTTGATAATATTCTGTCTCAACAAGATGCCGGGTTTGGCACCATTCTCACGTTGCTAGATTATTCACGTGCCTTTGACAGTATTAATCTGCAACTTCTCTTGGCCAAGCTTGAGTACTATGGTTTGGATGGTCTGTCGGTGAGATGGTTCGGCAGCTATCTATTAGAGCGTTACCAGTCAGTCAAAATTGAGCTCCAGTCATGGTTATTCTCGTGTGTCGGATCCCAGGGAGGTATTACGTGGTGTTCCTCAGGGCTCAATTCTTGGGCCGCTGTTATTTATTATTTTTACAGTGGACATAGTTGGCGCTATCGAGCATTGTCACTACCACTGCTATGCGGATGATGTGCAACTTTATATATCTACACGTCCTGATTCAATACAGCGGGCTGTTTTGGAGATCAATAGTGATTTACAGAGGATCGTAAAATGGTCGGATGATAACGGGCTGCTTTTGAACCCCTTGAAGTCCAAATTTATGGTTATGGGTTCAAAGTCGCAGGTCACCACTATTATTCTCTCCAATCCCATCATATCTCTTGGGCACCAGACTGTGCAAAGGGTTGATGAGACGCGAAATCTTGGAGTACTATTTGACTCCCAACTGCGTTTTGAGACCCACGTTATAAATGTCGTCAAAAGCTGCATGTACCGTTTGAGGGTGCTTTATCGCGTTCGTAACTTCCTCAGCGAGAAGGCTCGTATTACACTATGCGAGTCTCTGGTGCTCTCGAGACTCAATTACGCGGATGTTGTGATTGGCCCTCGTCTTCTTTCCAGGACAAGCCAATTGATTCAGCGGGTACAAAATGCCTGCTGTAGATTTTGCTTCCACGTGCCTCCTCGTACACATGTTTCACCATTTTTAAACTCTGCTAACATACTCCGGATGGAATCTCGTAGACAATTACATCTTGCTTGTCTCGTGTTTAAGGTCATAAAACACCAGCAACCCAAATACTTGCATGATAAATTGAAGTTTTTTACTTCGAAACATATGAGGTCTGCCCGGTCTGCTCTTGCCTATTATCGTCACCGCACAGTGGCATTTTGAGGTAGTTTTCGTTTCCAGGCTACAAGGTGCTGGAATGATATACCGCCTCCATTAAAAGAGCTTACTTCAATATATACTTAAAAAAAAAGACTTAAATCCAAGTTGCTTGAGCTTCAAATAAGGTATACTTAATAAGGTGTATGGTTGGTTGTTCTCCCTTGACTACCTTGTAAGTCATAAGTAATTATATTTGTGATTTTATTTTTATAATTATTATTGTTATTATTATTTGTATAAATTTATTATTCTTACTTTTTGACATTGACTGATGACATTTTGATTGTATTGTAATATTTTATGTCTATAATCTAATGTATATTTTGATTATTTATGTTATTATAATTAAAAATTTTCTTATTTCGACTTTATTAATGTATCTTATAACTGACTTTTGCTATAGTTTTCTTTTTTAATGTCGTCTATATTTGGTTTAATTGTTTGTTAATTTCTGCCCCGCTCACCTTGACTGGGTGATGGCTGAAAATCGGCGCTTCGCCCGTTCCTGGGTGATTTGAATGCGCTGAGCCTTGACCCTTTTCTAACTGCTACACACAGCTACATCATGATTAATAATTATTTCATTTAACTTTCTTTTTTTGTGTGATTCAAATTTTTTTAGATGTAATTGTTTGTAGTTATTAATAATAAACGTTTTATCTATCTATCTAATAACTTGCTACGATAAAAAACTAATGTCATTAAATAACGGAACAAAAATACAAAGCACTTACATAAATTGATTGTTTAATGAAATAAACAATTATTTGGTACCCAATTTACTTAAAATTAATTTTATCTGAATAATGTATGGGTTCTGAGTCTTCAAATACCGTCCAAGCTTGTCCTAGGAAGACTTGAAGAGCGATTCCACCACTTCTCGGTCGGCCGCTAGCTATCTCTTCCGACTGCAATATATTAAACAAGTCCCGTTTCTTGTTCACTCTGCAAAGTAGAAACAAACATTTTATTAAATTAATTAAATGACCGTTCATAACATTATAATAAAAATACTATGAGATCTAAAAACTATGTATATGTACTGTAAAAAAGATTTTCTATTATTATAACACTGTATCGTACGTAAAATTTAGTTTAATAAGGAGTATGTTATATTTAGATCGATAAATGTCTGGTTAACATAATGTAAGTACTGACAAAGTAATATTCAATGACAGGTAAATAACTTACTTGTGAGGTGGAGAAAATTCATATGGGGCTTGTTTGGAGCGATATTTCTTGGTGTCAACAGTGGCAGCTGTTGTACCTATGGTTTTGCGCTTGCCTGTCGCAGCACCAGCAGACGATGTCTTCTTTTTTTTTTAATTGGAACTTCAGAGATAATAGATGGTTCAAACTCAGAGTGAGACCTGTTGGAATAAACACCTATTTAAATATCACTTTAAAAACATTGGAGATAGAGTGGAAAGCAATGTAAAAAAAAAAATTTTACTTACGTATATTTTCTATACTTTATATTTGCGTCACTTTAAAATATATATATGTGGGATCGGGAATTAAACGATGGGACCGTTTTTAAATCGTTTACTGAAAAAATTAAGTAAAAAGGGAATACAAAAAAATGCACGGAGTGCACACACACATCGATCGCTCGGATACATCGTCTGCATAAACCTTTCATACGTTCAGATACACATCATCTATCCCACAATCGGCCATCCTGTATTATTGTCTGCCCCCAGACATACTAGTTCAAAAAGGCATCGTGAACAACTTCACATTTAATCAACAACAACAACATTACATCATTAATTATAAATATTACACGTTTCATGTTACATATTTTTATATAATAACTTCAAAACAACAACTTATATAGATCAATACAACGTTTTACATACAACTTAGTCTTAATTATGTAATAAGAACAATCTATTTAAATCAAGAGCAGTAACAGTATAGGGCTTCTAATAATAACACTTCCATACATCATCATTCATACACCTGAGACATAAACATAAACACTTACCAGCTCTCTACTATGATCTCACACATACTAGGTCGGCCAGGGCTTCATGTGGTCAGAAGAGCTTGAGGGTATTAGGTCCTTCTGCCATTGAGTCTACCTTCTCCACGTCAAATCTGTTGTTTCTCTTAACCTTGGTAACTGCATAAGGTCCCGAGGACTTTGGCTTGATTTTCATACCACTTCCAAACTGAGTGCGTTTTATAGCAACTAAATCTCCTTCTGAATACTGCCTACTTTCCTTCCTTTTCTTATTATAATTTCGTGTATTTTCATCTTGAATTTGTAATTTAGCTTTCTTTCTTATTTCGTCTCTGTAATGTACAAAACCATTTTGTTCTTCTGTAACAATAACTCATAAAGCTTGCAATTTTCTTTACTCATCATTTTTGTTCCCATGAGTAGTTCAAATGGAGAGGTATTTATACTTCTATGGTAGGTGCTATTTAATGCTCTTTGTACCTTACCGACATTTCTGTACCATTGTGTGGGTTTTTCTATAGATAACTTGGTCAGAACTGAAATGATGGTTCGGTGAACCCGTTCCACTTGCCCATTTCTTCTTGGTACCCCCGTTGTGATCTTTATATGCTGTATCCCTTCATTTTCACAATATTGAGCAAAATCTTTACTTGTAAATGCTTTTCCACGATCAGAGATTATCCTTCTTGGATTTCCAAACGT